TACTTTGATTTATTATATAAAAGTAAAATCTAAACGTGGAATAAATATATTTTCACCTAGATGCTAATAAAATGCAACTCTGGGTTAGTACAAAAGAAAAACAAATATCAGCTGACTGTCAACAATATATTGTATGTTCCAGTACTGCAATAATCTACTAATTTTAGTACTTATTTCAATTTTTTTTCATTCTATTTCTGGAGCAGACATATAATTTAAAATTAGGAAAATATTGATTGAAACATTGCCACAAAAATTGTGAAACCACTGGAATACGCGTAAACAAATAACAGCTGACTGTCAACTTTATATCGTTTTAATATTAGTCTAAACAACAAGGATTTTGTAGCTGGATTTAGAAGGCATATTCTAAACGCACCGTAAATATATTTTCACTTCAGTGCTAATAAAATGCACACTGGTTTAGTACAAAAGAAATATTAATAACTTTTGATTTATGTGAATGTATCGAAATTATTAATAGGTTTCCCGACTTTTCTTGAAGGTTATAAACATATTAAAAATTCTAAGACTGTAAAGGTTCTACAATCTAAAAGCGGATTTACATCAAATTGTACGTATGTGTGTAGTTTAACAAGTATTAGCTGACTGTCATTTAAAACGATTTCATACATACAATATGAATAACATTTATTTTCAGGATTTCGTAAATTCAAATCTTATAAAGTGTGCTACAACTCAGTTATCAAATATATATGTCTAAACATCTACAATTTTGTATATCTATTTAGATGGCGCAGTCTAAACATGCCATAAATATATTTTCACCTCAGTGCATGATGCAATAATAAGGTGATGTATCAAAACAAAAACCTTTGTTTTTGTCTCGATTATCTGTCAAATTTTTCCCTATGATATTTCACATGGTTGGCAACACTGCACATCGACTTCAAGTAGAAATTACGCACTTTGACAGTTAATCAAGACATCAGCTGAGCTAAATGGACTACCCATTCATTGTGCATTGCTTCAGTGCTAATAAAATGCAACACTGGTTTAGTACAAAAGAAAAACAAATATCAGCTGACAGTCCAGAACTTCAAGAATCTACTAATATTTAGTACTTTCTTCCCGTATCATACATTAAAAAAAATTGTATCGTAAACATTTTCTTCATTCTAGTTCTGGAAAAGTCATAAAATTTGTTTTACCAATTTATCACGCATAGTCTAAACATGCTTTAAAAGAGATTTGTTAAAATCAGCTGATAAAATTATTATTGATATAATTTTTTTTCCAGTAAGAATTTGTACATTCCCTGTAACACAATTTTCTATATTGATATTATTTAACAACATAAGTTATTTATTGATATAAGCTATTGACAAGGCCGTTTTGGTACGAACAACTACCCATAATTATCATTGATTTTGTTTTCTAACAACATGTTCAATTATAAATTTATTTACTATCGGTTAAATAGACTATTTCTGGGAAACGACTTTTTCTAATCTTAGGTATCCGAAGTACCCATATACAGCTTATAATTGGTTTATTAACAAAATATCATAAATCGATAGCAGTTATGGTAAATCACATGGGAAAGTAAAAAAAAACTGGTCGAACGCCAAACTCACTTTTCTTTACTAATCTTCAAAAATTCAAATTCAAATTGCCCAATTTTATAACTTAGCGCAACCGATGAAAAAAGCAGCATATTATAAATTAATTAAAAATGTTAACGATGGACCCGCTTCGAACGATCAGATTCCTCGTTGTGGGCTTTGATAATTATTTGGTATTTATTAAATCATCGATAATGAGTTTAAAACGCAAGCAATTATTTTCATTTTATCAATGAATGTTGTTTAATATTTGTTTTTGTTAACACGAAGTAAAAACATGTTCTATATACATTTTTTTATTAAATCAACAATTGACGTAGTTAAAACGATATATTGTTACTTTTTGATTATTTTCTATACAAACTAGTTAGATATGTTTTTTTAGGTTGATAGGTTGTTATAGTGATTTGGAGTGCAGTTTTAACAATCATAGAACTATGGACATTGTTGCCATCGATTTCGCATAAAAAATCATATGATTTTTTCATTGCATTTTTTTCTTTCATTCCTTTTTTTATGTTTTTAATTTGATACTCATTAAAATTTACATTTTAATAGGCATTACTTTTGCTGTTGTTGTTGTTGATTTTTTTTTTGTGGGAATCACTATAACTCAAGTATTTTAACATTATAACACTTGTCGACTCATCGAACGTGTTTTTTCATACATTTTATTTTAACGGGCCCTGAAATGGGATTTGTTTTACTGAACTGATTTTTTTTTGTCGAAAAAAAATGTTGTGTTCGGTTTTTTACTTTTTCATTTTAATATAGAAATAATATTGAATGTTGTTGCTGTTCGCATTGTTGTTTTCCAATTGCATAATGAATGTAATGCAAATTATTATGAACAATTCATTTGTTTCGTTTTATTGTTATTATTTTTTGTCTTCTTTTGTGGAATGAAAAAAAAAAATCATTAAATATTAAAAAACAAGGGTTTCAATATAAATGTGGGTTATTGCATGTTTAATTGATACAATTTGTCATTATATATTATTGTGAATATTATTTTATCCCCAAACCATAAACGTTGACTCGATTTACACGTATAAACGTATCATCCTTTTTTTAAATTATATTTTTTATTTGAAAAGTCTCAGAATTATTCACTGGCATTTGTTTAAATTGGCACAATAAATTAAATTCATATATAAAGAAATACTTCTTTATAACATGTTCTTATTCAGCAATCAAAAGCACTATCAGCTGATTGTAATAAACAGCTGATTCCTTTTTCCAATCTCCGTCTTGTTTACATTTTCTAAATGACCGTATAAACATAACAATATACTTTGCGTATTTTCTCATTAAGAAGTTGATGCAAATTTTTGTAAAAAATGAGTTTTGTTGAATGGTATCGGAGAGTTACGGCTTGTTCTTTAAAGTTATAAACAAATTAAAACTTCAAAGTCTGTAAAGATTCTACAAATTAGTTCAAAAACGCAAATTGTGGGTATGAATATATTTATACAAGTATGAGCTGACAGTCATTTAAAATGATCTCAAATCCAGTGTAAACAACCTTAATTCAATTTCAGAGCTTCGTAAATTCAGATCTTATGAATTGTGTATGTAAATGTGTTAACAGTTAGTTATCAAATGTAAATATTAATAGCTGATTTTCAGAAACAGCTGATCGCTTCTATGTAGTAATCATTGTTAAACAGTGTTTTTCGCACTATTTTTCAAATAGAAATACCAATAACAGAACAGATTTTCAAACGAAGCTGATCCCTTTTTCATTGAAGATTAGCTGATAGTGATGCCAATATAGCGTTTTTTTCGAAAATTTAGTTATTTCGTACCTTTTCTATTTTTGTATAAACTACCTCAATTTATTTTCAAGATTTTGTAAATCCAAATCCTATAAAGTTTGTATGTAAATGTGTTAAAAGTCAGTTATAAAATATAAACAATAACAGCTGATTATCAGAAACAGCTGTTCGCTTCTATGTAGTAATAAAAGAAACAAAGTTAAGCTACTCTTTTTCGTTCAGAATCAGCTGATAGTGATGCCATTATAGAGCTTTGCAGACAATTTACCTTTTCTATTTCTGTTCAAATAGGGAGGGGTAACATTTTTGAATGTTGGTATGGAATTTTTTCCATAATTATTTGTAGTACCTTCAAAATTTTGATTTTCATATAGAGATTAATAATATTAATTTTAATCTGACATTGGCCTTATTTTTATACTGTTGTTTTCTTATCAATTATCATGTTTGAAATCACTGAACGGAGATTTGAAGTACTTGAGATACGATTAAGGTATCGAAATGACGCACTTTAAGAATTACATTTATGTGGAGGATTTTGAAAGAGATATATGAAGGCTAAACAAAAGATAGGTTGATAAAGTAGTTCTTAAAGCAGGCAGTATCAAATATATAAATAAATAACCTCTATGGGGAGAAATTCGAACTTGAATATTTTAGCACAAAAATTTAGGAGACGTCGTGGCTATAACATACGGGTTTGATTAAATCTAAAGCCATTTGAATGACGATTGCATTATCAATAAAATTTACTATTCTTTAATGTTTTTTTCCAAAACAACACATAAGTAGCCCGCACTCCACAGACCTGGTCTTTCTCTATATTTATTTTCTGTGCTTTCCTAAATAAATTGATACTTCGAGGACAAAAAATAGGATCAAAGCTATTATATGGCGTAAAAGTCGAATTCAACCAATTTTGACAAATACTAATTGAAAGGAAAAATGGCGCCCAACTGATCATGAAATACCGAAAAAACATTGGCATATAAAATAGGAAGGTTCTGAATTTCAAGCACTCTAACAATTCAATCGTTCAATGTCGTACCATGGATATGTTCAGTATGTTGACCTCAATTAACCTCCAGAATTTGGGATTTGGGCCTTTTACCACAGACAATTTTCAAAGTAACATAAAACCTAACATATTGGCGATGGAGGTACCAATTAGTAGTTCACTTCAAGTAATTTTGTCAATGTCCAATTTTAAGCAAAAATGGTGCCCAACTCATCATGTACAATATAAACCCTCTCTAATAATCTCCATCATACGTTAAGGGCTTTCAAAACTGACCTACGTAGAGAGCGCATAAAATGCTAATAGTGTAGGTTATGTTCAGAAAAACAATAACAATAACCACTGTATGCCTAAATATTTAAAAAAAGTCTTCTGTAAACTTCCGCTATTCCAAATATGGCTTTATAGCTATTTTGGCACATGATTTGCATACAAATTTTTTAATGGGACTTTTGTTTTATATATTTTTTGTTTTGATTTCTGAAATAAATTAGCATTTAAGAGATTTAAAAGTTTCTGACTAATGTTTTTTTTTTTACTTTTATTTTCAGTCACATATTTTAAATACCTACAACAATCCTCCATATTCCGCACACACACACACACACCTCAACACATAAATCATGGTTAATTTTTGGAAAGCTATAACACGCCGAAAAACTGATGATGTCCACGAGGAAGAATCAAAATTGGCACGTGTCCTGGGTCTACTCGATTTAACCGCCTTAGGTGTGGGTAGTACCCTTGGTTTGGGTGTATATGTACTGGCTGGTTCAGTAGCATATAATATTGCCGGTCCTGCTGTAACATTGTCTTTCCTCATTGCGGCGGTTGCCTCCGCTTTTGCTGGTATTTGTTATGCCGAATTTGCGGCTCGTGTACCAAAGGCCGGCAGTGCCTATGTTTACAGTTATGTGACAATTGGTGAATTTGTGGCCTTTACAATTGGTTGGAATTTAATTTTGGAATATGTTATTGGTAAGTGAGAGGAAGATTATTTTTCTTACAACAACAATTAAAACCTGCGTTTGTTTTTAGGTACTGCCTCAGTGGCCAGAGGCCTGAGTGGTTATTTCGATTCATTGATTGACAAAAACATGTCAACCGCTTTGACGGAGGCCTTGCCCATTAATGTTAGTTTCTTGGGTGATTATCCGGATTTCTTGGGCTTTGGCATGGTGTTGGTATTGACATGTATATTGGCTTTTGGTGTAAAGGAATCAACCTTCCTGAATAACATTTTCACCAGTGTTAATATTATTACCATTTTGATTGTTTTGGTTGCCGGTGGTTGGAATGGTAAGTTGAAAATATTTTGATTTTTACCCAGAAAATATTTGAAATGAATATTTATCTTTTTAGCTGATCCCAAAAACTGGTCCATCCCCGAATCTGAGGTTCCTGAGGGTTTTGGTAAAGGTGGTTTTATGCCTTATGGTGTTGCTGGTGTTATGGCTGGTGCTGCCAAGTGTTTCTTTGGTTTTGTGGGTTTCGATTGTATTGCCACCACCGGTGAAGAGGCCATTAATCCCAAACGCAACATCCCATTGGCCATTGTCATATCGCTGATTATTATTTTCTTGTCGTATTTTGGTGTGTCCACAGTATTGACCATGATGTTGCCATATTATTTGCAGGTAATGTAATTTTTTACCCGAAATCTGCAAGTAAAATTGTAGGTTCTAGAAGGAAGCCTTTATGTTTTAAATCTACGGGAACTATTATTAACTTTGAAATTTGTTTACTTTTTTTTTGTATTTTAGAACGAAAATGCTCCCTTCCCCGATGCCTTTGAGGCCATTGGCTGGATCGCTGTTAAATGGATTGTAACGATTGGTGCCATCTTTGCTTTGTGCACCAGTTTATTGGGCGCCATGTTCCCCCTACCCCGTGTCCTTTATGCCATGGGTAGTGATGGTATTATTTTCAAGAAATTGTCGAAGGTTAACAATTTCACAAAAACACCATTGTTGGCCACCATATTATCCGGTATTTTGGCATGTAAGTATGAATATATATTAACAAATGCAAAAATGGCGCCCAATCAATCAAGTAAAACAAAGAATCAATTTTTTATATGGTCCTCTACCATAGGGCGGATAAGATACCAATCAGAGCAAAAATGGCGCCCAATTAATCAAGTAAAATCAAGAAGGAATTTTTCATATGATTCTGAAAATCTGCCATGGAGCGGATAAGGTACCAATTAGGGGTTCAGTTGAAGCAATTTTGGAAACATTAATTTCAAAGCAAAAATGGCGCCCAATCAATCAAGTAAAACTAAGATGGAATTTTTCATATGATTCTAAAAATCTGCCATGGAGCGTATAAGGTACCAATTAGAGGTTCAGTTCAAGCAATTTTTTTAAATAGTCATTTCAGTGCAAAAATGGCGCCCAATTAATCAGTAAAATCGACACAGGATTTTTCAATAAATGAAATCTACATGACATCAACTAGCTAATGTACTATTTCCGATCGATCGTTCAATGTGATATCAAGAATTTTTTGGTATGTAGGATTATGGAAGCGGAACTTCTTAACACCGAATAATTTTATCTACCTAAAAATATGGTGGATGAGGTATCAATAAGTATTTCACTTCAACCATTCTTACTCATTTGGCTATTGCTACAAATGAGAGAACAAAATGGCACCCAAATCATCATTTAATCGTGCTGAATGTTGTAAAATCATGGCATTATTGGTCCGTCCTCTTAGCTGTCCAAAAATTATTGCGATTAGAAAATTTCTGATGATGCTTTATTTATTTTGAGAGCAATACATAACCTCAATTTCTATAAGCAAATTATGTACATTTACTAATTAATTTTTTTTCTTCTCCCTCCTTTAGCTGTCATGGCATTACTCTTCAATTTGGATCAATTAATCGACATGATGTCCATTGGTACCCTATTGGCCTATAGTATTGTGGCCGTATGCGTTCTAGTCTTACGTTATCAAGATGATGATATGAGCGGTCGTGAAGTTACCCTACGACTACCCACGGTTATTAAACAATTTTTCAATGGCAACTCCTTCCGCGAACCAAATGTTCTAAGTTCGGCCATAACCAAAATTGGTGTCATTCTATTCGGTGTGGTGTGCATTCTATGGTGCAGTATGGATAAAATTTTTGAATTTGGTTCCACCGATTCAATTATTGCCTTGAGTGTTTTGGGTGCTGTGTTAATTGTCATCTTAATTATTATTGGCTGCCAACCAGTGTCATCGATTGAGTTAACATTCAAAGTGCCATTGGTACCCCTGATACCCTGCCTTAGTGTTTTCGCCAATTTATATTTGATGTTCCAATTGGATTTGGGTACATGGGTGAGATTTTTGATTTGGGTATTTATCGGTTATTGCATCTATTTTGTGTATGGCATTCGCAATTCGACACAAATTACACGTAATAAAAATCATGCAGCCGCCGCTTTGGATATGCAACGTACCAATGCGGCATTCGAGCCCGATTGGAAGGTGGAGAATGGTAAAAGCATAAAAATGTAAGGAATGTTGAAGTGAGGTATTAGATTTTTTTTGGCTAGAGGAGTTTGTTTTAAAATTATACAAGACTAAGCAAATCAAGTATTGATCATCGTGTGAACAATCAAAGAACAGATTTTTGTATTTAAAACCTTGTGTAAATGGTGTATTAGATACATTAAATATTTCTCAAGGCTGTGTTTATCGAAGGTCTTTATTTAGTTCCAGAGATCATTGTAAAGAGAGAAAGATGTTAAAGACCACAAATGTAAACATGGTTTAAAAGAGAGAGAGCAAGGTTTTAATATTGAAAGTTTGTATTTGTTTTTATTGCTATTATATTTGTTTACTACCAAAAACAAACTCTCAAGGTAACTGTGTTTTTTTACTTTGTCTACATACACCTGTCACATTAACTGTGTGTGTAAGAGAGAGGGAGAGAGTTCTTTGATTTTGAGAGTTTGTTTTCTTTTATTATTATAAATTAAATATTATTTATTAATTTTCTTTTACGTTTGTACATTTTTTGTTGTTGTTATTATTATTGTTTTTGTATATACATTTGTAGTAGCAAATGAAGAAGAAAAGAGAATAGCATTTATAATGAAATGAGTATTAAATGTTAAGTACTTAAATGACATTTTGCCAGCTGTCATATACATGTGAGGGATTAAACGACTACCATCAATTGTGGCAATGAGACAATAAAGCTTGATCCTATTTTTTTAATATTTATTAAAAATATATATAAAAAAACTTAACAGTATATGTGTCATGTCCCAATAATGACAGTTAATACATATCTACATTTATCGGCCATAACATTCCACGATGGTGTACTGTTACAAATAATTTAAATTAATTGTGAGAAAAACAAGTCATGCCATTAAAAAAAACTCACACACACACAAAATGTCATTTGGAATTACGTTAACAAAAACAACAACAATTCAATTTTCTTTCTCTCTCAGCATTTTGAAACAGGATGGTATATAAAAAATAATAAATAATAATAATGGAATATGGGAAGTTAGGCCCCAATCGAAGTTGATATTTATATAAATTTTAGAGTATATATAAACAAGCCGTAGCATACCTTCTCCATTATTATTATTTTTGTTAACGTCAATACTATTTATTTTATATGTATAGAATAATGTTTATTTTAATTCCCTCTTAATGCCAAGCATTTCCATGTCTATAGATTTTTTTGTGTTTCATTTTTATTTTATTTTATATTTTATTACACAATTATTATTTTATTTTTTGTATACGTTAAAAACACACATACGCACACAAATACATTCCCATTTTATTACCATTGTGATATTTGTAATATACATACATATACATCTATTTGTTTGGATTTTGTTAACAACAAAAAACTACTTTGCCATAGTTTTAATAATTTTTGGCAAACACATTTAGAACTAAGAATATAAAAAATAATTGTTGTTTTTTTATTTAAAAAAATATATAGTTTTAAGTTGTAGAAAATAATATTATGTGTAAATTATGTAAGTGTATATTATTATTGTTTGTTTTTATATTATAGTATTTTTATTATTTTTTTATACTAAGTCGATGATTTTACGAATTTATGTATAAAATCTTAACACAAAATAAAAGAAAATTTTAATAAAAAATATTATATTTTATTTTTCCAAAAAAATAATTATTTTAATAAATATTATTATTTTTATATCACAGATACCAACATATTTGTTGCAAACCCTGCATTATTGTATTCCAATTAAGCTCAACTACATCCATTTCCTCCCTAAGCCTTTTTGACCACTTTCACACATCCTAATAACAATTAACGTCATTCCTTTCTCTAGTTGGTTCAGATGCTTAAGCATTGCCATCTTTTTGTCCATTGTATCCGCCTCCTTCATTTTGCCCCACAACACACTCGCTAATGGATTTTTAGCCTTTGAAGAATTGATGCCACTTTCGTATGCTTTGCCCTTTGTCATCATCAGTGTTCACTTTTGAGTGAAAAGCCTTTAGACTTATTAGCCGATTCTTTTTTTCGTCTTTCGATGATAGTGAAGCTTCCAGTGAAATGCATAAATTAAAAGCTAAACTCTGTTTGAATGGAGGAAAAAGGAAAAACGCCATTCACTGCCTGGTAAAATCCACACATGTCTTTAATTTTTGGCAGCTGGGGCTAAAGGATTAAAAAAGAAGAAGAAGACGAAAAATCAGAGGACTGCGGCCAGTGTATAAAGTGGTCGAATTAAGATTTGTGTGGAGCAGGATTTTTTCTGATTAGATCGGAAGGTTGTATCAAATTTAAATGCCACTGAAAAACATATTAATAAAAGGAAAAAGAAATTAGGCGAAGAAAAAAATTCGTTTGAATTTAAAATTTAAATTTAATTTGGGGAAAATATATATTTGAAAAATATTATATTTTTCTATTGACAATTTCTTCAACAGAAATGGCGCCCAAGCTTGAATTTAAAATTTAAATTTAATTTGGGGAAAATATATATTTGAAATTATTATATTTTTAATATATTATGTTTTTTTTAATGGATGGCGCCCAACATGAGCAAACATGGTCAACATTTCAAATATGTCTTCATATCTAAGCTAAAGTGATTGAATGATAAGCAAAAATAATTTGAATGGCGCCCAACGTGGGTAGCAGTGATGTTTACCTATTTGAATACATTTTACATATTTGAATACATTTTTGTCCCACCTGAGTATTTGATTAAAGTGATTTTTATATTAAAATTATAATTTTTAAATTAATATATTATGTTTTTTTTAATGGATGGCGCCCAACATGAGCAAACATGGTCAACATTTTTTTACAATAACTAATAAATATTTCTTTTATAAAAAAATACTTCTTTAAAAAATCTACGCCATTTGGTGCTTTGAAAAAATATTCCTTTAAAAAATCTACGCCTTTTGGTGCTTTGAAAAAATATTCCTTTAAAAAATCTACGCCTTTTGGTGATTTGAAAAAATATTATAAAAAAAATCTGATTTGAAAAAATATTATTTAAAAAATCTACGCCTGTAATAACGGAAAATCGAGAAACTAACATAACTGAAATGGCGCCCAACGTGGTATTCTGCAAAATTAAGTACTATAAACAGTAATGTGTACAATATATTCATTTTCCTTGCACATTTATGAAACTTTTGAGATATCTGGCCGAGAAACGAAAGTGATCAACCTAGAAGCCCATACAAATGAAATGGCGCCCAACGTGGGACACGTTTTCCAATATTTATATGTACATATATCAGACTCTATAACATCTCTTAGATGTTATAAACAAAATATAATGGCGCCCAACGTAACAGATCGTCTAATTTGTATATATGTATGTACATTTGTCAAAACTCATTTTACCTTTGAGATTTTTATATTGTACGCTAAAGCGAACCACCGAGAATACTATTCAAATGGGAATGGCATATTTTTAATTCTTATTCAATTTAGCATTTTTACCTTTGACAAATTCAAGGAACATAACATATAGTCATCCACAAAGTACTACTTAAATGTAAATCTAAGAAGTTGACATGATATGTACTGGAATATTATTACAAGTGTGTGTGTATGTGTACAGTTTGCAGTGTGTAATCCAGGGCACTTGCTTTTTGGATATCCTGTGTACATTGTATGTACAATTTGTTTGTATACGAAATTGAATTGATATTATGCTGATATATGTTTTGTTGAGTGATTGACAGAAGAACGACAATGATTATGACGATGACCATAAGTTGTTGATATATTCCTTTACAAGCATAAATGTCCTGTCTTTTCCACCCTTTTATCCCGGTTAGATATTCTCATACTCTTATGAGTCATGGCTTGGAGTAACAGTCAATAGGGTATCAGCCATTTAAGCTGGTGTTATGTTAATATATCTCATTACATTGAAAGCATTGGTAAATATAGGGATCGAAAATGTGGACAGTGGAACCTATGCTTCCTGGGCACTCGATGTAGTATGTAGATAATAAAGTAACCAATAAAACCAAAATAATAACCCAAAAATCTCTAAGTTTATTTTAATATAATACATTCATTTTTAAGTGGTTCCACTGTATAAATAAATTGTATTATGGTTCCATATACCGATTAACTCGTTATAGCTAACTCAATGACGAAAATGCTTGCTTCCGTTTCATTTTTATATTATGGTTTTGGTCCCATCTCAATCTCCATCTCCCTCATTGGGCCTTTAAAAATTTTCAATAATCACATGGAAATGAAATGAATTTGGCTGTCCAAAAAAATTTCGCCATATTCTTACATACTTAACAAAAATATGTAGATATATATTATAGGTATCCCATCCACAATAGGGAATCGTTTAAAATCTCATTTCCGCCTGAATGGCCAGACAATTGCTGGAAAAATATGCAAACGTTAACACAAATGCTCAGTGACAAAATGATGATGGCGGTAGTAGCTACAAACAAAATCGCTCCAAAGGGTAATGTACACACCGACATACAAACAAATGTTTGTAGGTATGTATAATTCGTATTTACAATTATGTTAAAATATCCTAGGTACGTATAATCGATGATATATGGATGATAATGCCGACAAAATTGTAAATTGAGTGTAAATAAATAAGTAGATATTCGATGATATGGGTGAAAAAAATAATTGGTAATATTTTTTTTAAGTTATTGAATACAAAAAGGTTTACACCACATAATTTCTAAAAATCGTTCTTTTTCACTATGAAACTATATAACTGAGAAACTAAAGTGATCAACCTAAAAGTTCATTCATGGGACACATTTTCCAATATTTATATGTATGTACATTTATCAGATCCTATACATCTTTTAAATTTTTAGTTGGTATGCTGAAATAAATGGCCGAGAAATACATTGAAATGGGAATGGCGCCCAACATGCGGCACATCGTACATATGTTCCAATTATTATATATACAGATGAAAGACCCTATAACATCTCTTAGATTTTTAGTTGGTATGCTGAAATAAATGGCCGAGAAATACATACAAATG